GCTTTCGGCCATGGCCTTTATCAAACCAACGTGATAACAATGTTAAAAGACGATCCTGTCTGTCTGCCATTTTTCAAAAACCGATTGTCATTTTTCAAAAACCGATTGTCTACATCGGACACTATGTAGACAATCGGTCTATCTAATAGTTTGCCCTTATGAGTAGCGCCTTTCCTAAAATATCACGATCTTCGGTTTTTGAAAAATGGCAGACAGATTATTCACAGGATCGTCTTTTAACATTGTTATCACGTTGGTTTGATAAAGGCCAGTGGCCGAAAGCTCACCGTTTTTTAAAATATATTATTCGGCTTTTTACATTTTTGATGTCGAGGAAAAGGTCAACTCTTTTATTTATCTAATTATACAACCTAGGGTACCCCTAAATCTAGTTTTCTCATCGGTTTTAGGCCACTTATTTCTCAGACCTTGGCCTTTTCAACGAAAAAAAAAGAAGAAAATATTTGCAAAAAAAGTGAGGTATTCCGTCTCAGCTGAGTGAAGAAACTAACCGTTTTGGCAGCCTGGAATAAAGGTTTTAAGCTGCCAAATGAGTTGCCGAGTCAGTAAAATAGGTAGATTTTTCACTCACATGCTTTCTTCCTTTGTGACTCACAACCCCTAATTTGGGGAGGACAAGCTGCCCCAACGGTTCCTGGCCTCATGAAAAGTTGTGAAGCACCGCCCCCACGGCCCCAGAGTTGTGAGGGCAAGCTTCCCCCACTGCCCTCTCCCCCGGTTCCCGCGCCTATGTATGAATCTATGAAATTGTGTTGGTAGATTTTCGATTTCGATTCCTCCAGCTGGGGGGGCTCAAATACATTACGAGCCCCCCCAGCCGAAAAGTTGGAGGGGCTCAGCCCCCCCTAGCCCCCCCGGTTCCCGCGCCACTGCTTATTTCTATGCTAAGATGGCTCTAGCGTATCCGGCAAATAAAATGGGCATAGGTATAAATACGCATAAAAAAATAAGTTAACATAGACTTGGGTATAACCACGGATCACATACTGCCCGGGCCTATAAGGTGTCACATAAGGTGATCCGTGGTATAACTAATGGTCAGAAGAGGGCAAGCAGCGCGCTTGGGATGAGGCGTTCTCTAAGACGTCTCAGCAGCGTCTGCTGGATGGGGCAAACCAGGTGGTCCGGGTGCGTCTTCTTGCTGCCGCAGAGCCCCACACCGCCGCCTGGGTGCAAGCCCTCCCAGTCACCAGTCTGGGACTCCACCTGGAGGACGAAACCGTCCGGGTAGCAGTGGCGCTGCGACTCGGGGCACCGGTATGTGACCGCACAACTGCCAGCTCTGCCGTCGTCCTGCTGATCGACTGGGCCACCACGGTCTCTCCTGTGCCAAGAGTGCTGGCCGCCACGCACGTCACGCCAACCTTAATGACGTGCTGCGGCGGGCACTCAGCAGCACAGGGCTCGAGTGTTTTAGAGCCCACCGGCCTTGACAGAGGTGACGGCCGACGTCCCGATGGGATAACGCTCTCCCCTTTCAGCCGAGGAATGAGCCTGATATGGGACGCCACCTGCTGCGACACCTTCTCTGCAACTGCTGTCATCAGCTCTGCCTTGAGTCCTGGTAGCGCCGCTAGATGTGTGAAGAAATAGACATCTGACAATTGGCTGACTTCCCTGCCTCCCGGCCGCTACTCAGGTCCACCACTCGCCGTTGTCAGTGCACGGTTTTTCTAGCAAGCTCCAGCCTAGTATTGATCTTATTCAGTATTTACGGTACGAAGATTTGATAACGGAATGTGACGTTTCCACATCATGCTTGATGGTTGAAGTTTGCAACGTTAACAACTACCAAGTCAAGTCGCCGCCCCAGTCATCTGGCACGTCTCTGTCATCGAATAAAGCCAATGAACAAGAAAGTTATTATTTTCCAGCATAAATGAAAATATATAACACTGCTACAGGCGGTACGCGGATGTCATGCACTACACACAACGATTCAATCGAATAAAAACTGGATTAACCATAAATAATAACAGTACAGCACTGGATTAACCATAAATAATAACAGTACAGCACCAAACACTTGAGATGCACATTATAGTACTTTAGAATTTAGATGCACAGAGGAGTAATGAGACTAAAAGTTTTAGCACGCCCTATCTTAAAAATATTGAACGAGATATTTCCACAGTGCAAAAACAAAACCGAAATCCGACATAAAACCGATTCCAGGTTCAATGTCCACAGATTTAAAAACAAAACTTTCAAGTGCCCCCATGGTAAAAAAAAAATGACCAAAGACGGAATTGTAACAAAGAATAAATAAAGATATGTGCGGCAAACGAAGAGCGGCACTGGACGAGCGTCTGCCCAAAGTAGGCGCCCAGAGTTACTCCTTAGCCCAGCGGGCAGCAGCAAATGAATTACAGCCAAAGGAAGAATATGCATTAGTCTATTAAGGCTCATCGCACCATGACGAGGCACAGCTCGGATAACGCGATTCGCCTGCGTCCTCCAGGCGAGAAGCACCTCGAGTAGGCTGCCGTGTCTTGACCAACTGCCGCATCCGTCGTCCGCGCCGCAGGCCTCCCAGCGGCGCATCGGCCGTCGACCGGCGTGGGGCCCGGATGTGACTAGTGCAGCTCCGTGGGGTGCCCTGCCGCGCTCTGCCGAGTGTGCAGAGAGCAGGTAGACTGGTGGCGGTGAAGAAAACAAGCTGTTATCTTCTTTCGGGATCTGTAAAGAAGCATTCCACTAAAAACTACATCCAAAACGTTTTCATATTTTTTTACAGAACACAATGCAGTAGCCAAAATAGATATGAAGTATGTGAAGACAACAGTCTACTGCCATTAGATAACTGATCCTGATGGACAAATACTTTAGATACTAGTATATCATAAGGTGGTTCAAAGGCCGGTGCCGTTTTCTTCCAGGGGAGGCGCCCCGGCCGCCGTGCTGGGGCGTAACGCAGTCCGTGCTTTTAGCACAGCAAAATATCCACCCAGGCTAGATTAAAGTCACGACAACCTAGGATTAAGAGTGGCTACAGACTTCAGACTTTATGCAGACTTAACATTGAGGTATTATATGTGCAACTAAATGACACACATGGTGTTTGTTCTAACCTTCTCAACAGAAAGTGGACGTGTCAGGACAGCACCCCTTGGTGACCATTATACTCAAGGGGTGTAGGAACTGATTCCCCAGGGGTGAAGCGATAGAAGCAAAAACATGAGTCACTGGATCCCTCCTGTGTCTTCCCTCCAGCAGGAAAAAATATATGCGTGATGCCCAATGTGACTAATAACTGCATATCATAAAGCTGGAAATATTGTACAAAGTTGTGACAACACAAGCAAACTATGCATGTCACTGCTCTTGTTATTGCTATATGAGACCCCACAAGACACAAAAATATGTCGCTGCAATGTGAGCTATTCTTATAGGGTTATTGTAGTTGTCCAGTGACCAAGGCCAAACAATATTGGCCGAAATATTTGGACTTGCATACACAATACAATCCCAGTGAATTCCAGTGAATTCATTCTACATTTTCACTACATCAAAAGTGAATGAAATTAAGTGATAATCAAAGACTCTGGAAAAGAAGATCAGCATAACTACATATGTCTTGTTTCCAAAGCTAAAGTATGATCCTCAATGTTGCAAAAGTTGCTTGGCTTTTACAATAATGAACAATACAATAACTTTGAATAAAAAACAACATATGGTAAAGTGAAAACACTTATCCAGCACTAAGCAGATTATTTCTAAGCTCGTTTAAGTCCCAATTTCTGCTATATTTCGCTTGGAGTCACTTCATAGTTTGAACTCAAGGTGCCTTGTGGATTTACCTCAGGTATGTAGGTAAATCCACAAGGATTTATGGGCTTTACCTCAGTTATGTAGCTGCTCCCTCAATTTAAGTTTCTCGTTAAATTTCATTGAGGCGTTGCAAGATGGGCTGTAGCCGAATTCTCTTCCCTGTTTAGCTGATGCTGATAATACCTGAACATTTCTAATTCCAATTTTTATAGCTGTTAACAATTGCTAAAGGCTCATGTACCTAGACAATAATGACTTTACAGAGGAAACCCCTGGCTGTGTTTCATGGGCGCGCTGCCAGCAGCTGCCAGCACATTCCGTGGAGCTAGCGTCAACCTCTGGTAGTGTTGGAGGCATAGGCTTGTTGATGTCTATGGAAGCCAAAAGTGGCTGGCAGAGTGCCGCGTTAAACCACCCTTATTTTTTGCACAATAATGGTGTGATAACTGTTCCTGCAAAAAAATATAAGGTGAAGTGAAGTAAAATCAGGTCAAACATTTATATATACCCAAAAGTAGCAGTGTATGGAGTACCTATATTCACATTACCATTCCAATAATATGATGCACAACAGGCCATAGAAAAACCAGTGAATGTTGAATTGTACCCCAATTTCAATATAAATATGGCACTTGGCAATAACAGTTAAACACACCGCTTTTTATGTTAAATCAACAGAGAAAACTCCTGAACATAAAAAATGATCAGAATGTATAAGGATAATAGCATAAATAAAAATCGACGACATCAGCGCCTATCATCGCCCTTGCGCATTCACCACTCCCCATTCCACGCACAGATTGTTTACCCCTTGGTTTACCCCGTGTTCGCAGTCTCCCTGACGACGGAGATTCTATACGCCCACCGACCAATCACGTTCAAGGTCAGCGGGGCTTGGCCGCAGTTCTCGAACGCCATTGGCCAGATTAAGCAGGACCTTCGTCGTCAGGAAAACTGTGAACACGGCGTTACATATTTCGCTATGGTAACAAAAGCGCCAGAATTGACTACCAGAATCGGATCCGAAGGTCAAATGGGTCACGTGACTGACAAGTTCAGATGGACAACACCTGGAAAACGGCACAACGTGCAATAACGTTCTATATATCATTGGAAAGAGCATCAAAAGTTGTATAACCTATCAACTTTTCACTTAAATATATCTATAACGCAAAATGTTATAAAGCAGCAAAGACGCTCCCATTGACTTTGCATGTTAAAAAAATTCTTCTTTAAACGAGCTCAAAAAGAACAAACGAATTCTGACAGCTTAACGAAGCATAACAACATATTCTATGGTCTTTTCTCAACAAGTCCTGAAAGTTTAAACAAAATCGTATCATATAATTTTGTACAATGAGCGAATGAAAATGCCTCTGCAAAAACGTCCATTGACTTAACATGGGGAGCGAAAAAAGTTCAACTTCAAACTCGTGCAACTCAAGTTAACGAATTCTGACGGGTATACGGCGCACACTGGCGTGTACCAGAACGTGTTTGCCATAAAATGCTGGGAAGAAAACCACCTCCTTCTTGGCTCGTTTTCCCGCCATTGGCGATCGCGCAAAAAGTGTCCAAAACCCCGTTGACTTAACATGGGGAAAATGCAATTGCACGTGGCACGCGCAATGATTTTTGTTGCGAGTAGCGACCGGTACCATCAGGTAGATCACCTGCAAAAGTCTATACCCTGAAATTTTTACGATCCTAAACGCAAAACTCTAGGCTGCGACCAAGTTGCCCCAATCTCAGGCCAACTTTGCAAACATAGCCCGGAGAAGGACCGCTCCGGTTGTTTTTCAATAGAAAAACACAATTCTAACGAATAGTGTTTGTCTTTTCAAACAACCTGCGGTTAAAAACACAATTCTAACGAATAGTGTTTGTCTTTTCAAACAACCTGCGGTTAATAACTGATAGGGTTCTTCACGCAATGGAAAACGGCAACATATCAATTTTGGTCTTATTGGATTTGTCCAAATGTTTTGATGTAGTGCCACATCAAAATTTACTTCGAAAACTTGCACTGTATGGCATTGACACGAAATGGTTCAGCAGTTATTTGTCTGATCACACTCAGCAGGTTAGGCTGTGTGCCGGTAAAGGACGGAACGTACTGTCGCGCTCACGAGAAAATAACATTGGTGTTTTTCAAGGCGGAGCGCTATCATGCGTCATGTACATGTTGTATGCCAACGACCTCAGCCTCAGTGTCTCAGATGATGTAACAATTGTCCAGTATGCAGACGATACACAGCTGTTGGTCAGCGGAAAGAAACGTGACGTGCAGCGAATGGTGGCCTGTATGGAGAACGCCTTACACCGTATGTATCAGTGGTTTTGTGCTAACGGCATGATGCTTAACACAGCTAAGACACAAATGGTCGTATTAGGTACACCAGCGATGCTGCGCGACCTGCCCTTAGTCTCCCTTCACTTTTGTGGCACTGTTGTTGCTGAGTCGCGAGCCGCCAAGAACCTGGGTGTTTACGTTGACCGCCATCTCAACTATGAAACGCACATCGACAATGTAACTAGAAAGTGCACGGGCATTCTTATTGCTCTGACTCATGCACGTCACGTGATCCCAAGAGTGACACTGAAATCCATTGTCGAGGCACTTGTCCTTTCCGTGTTACGGTATTGTTTGTCAGTGTATGGTTCGTGTGGCATGACGCAGCTTCGACGTGTACAAAAACTTGTCAACTTCTGCGTTCGAGTAGTGACGGGCAAGAGGCGATATGACCATGTATCTCAGTCCCTGGAACAACTGCAGTGGCTCACTGCTGAACAGCTTGTGATATATCACACTGTGTGTGCGGTCGAGCGGGTTATAGTTTCAGGACAGCCTGAAAGCATCATGGCGACTATTGGTCTGCGGACTGATCAGCGCCACAGCCATAACACGAGGCAGGGCAGCCTGTACACGCTCCCGACTATCCGAACTGAGGCAGGGAGGAGACGGCTGTGCTACCGAGGAGTAGGGCTACTGAACAGTGTCGGTGTGGAGCCCGGAACGTGCGGGTTCCGTTCTGCAGTCAGACGCGCTGTTAAGTCGCAGTAGGGTATACCTGACTTCATCATGTGCGTGATTGTAGCTGCCAGCTGGTATGTCTGTTTCGCCGTGTCCACAATGTTTTAATTCGCTTACGTGAACTAGTGAAAAGCCATTGTTTTATAATGGATCTTGTTCGAATACATCTATCTATCTATCTAACCATATGCCATCTAAAGACTGCATAATTTAGTACGTTTTGCTGTCTGCAGTGTCAAAAAAGGGAATGGTCTACGACCTACGTGCCAACCATGTCTACGCTATTTTACCCGGTGCTTTACTGACTACGAGGCCACGTTTTCGTAAGAAGGGCGCTCACGTGTGGCCGGTCTATCCAAACAAATGACTATCTGGTATTTTCTATCATCTGTCTACATCAGTCATCTTCAGGTGTGGTGCCGTTTGACGCTAGGTACTTTCGTGACGGCTAATTCGTTCACATTTCTGCGGAGAGGAGCTACAATAACCTCTAGCAGTTAGCACTCTATCAAATTCAAACTGACTTACTTGAAAGTGTGAAAACATGCCACCCAGGGCCTTCTTGGTGGCCTTTGCAATATTCCTCGACTTTTTGTTGTTTCCAGTGGGCATTGATTGGGCTGTAATTACGCATCAGAATCAGATAGCGTTCTAATATATTGCCATTACACTAATATCTTCGTCGTAATGAAGCCTAGGTGTTAGATGTGATTTGTTCAGCTTAATGTCCAATTAAAATACGATATTAATGAATACAGTCCAAGCTATTTCTATATAAATTGCCGTTGCGACGCGGATCTATTTGAATTAATCTGCTCTGTGCGTTTCCATCTCTTTATAATGTGTTTCATTAAAAACATTAATCATACGCTATAGGTATATTAAGCTTAAGCTCGTTATTTGTTCTATCTAATTGTGGTCAGCTCCAACAGCTAATTATTAATCAATGTTTGTTCCGTGCACCTCATTCTGAATTCAGACCGTACTTCCACGTGGAGACCACCCTCTCAATGGTCTGTCATTAGTCATTGGCCCATTGGTCTGTTCACCACATTGGTCATTAGCCTATTCGTCTTGGTTCACCCTATTGGTCTGAATCTCAGTATTCTCAGTGAATTGGCTCATCCTTAGTGGTCTGTTCCCTTCCTCCCAGTGCAGTGGTGTGTGGCCATGGTCTGCGCCTTACCCTCCTAGTAGTCTATGCCCACAATCCTAGTGAAACTTGGCTCCTATTGGTCTGTGCCAAGTGCCAACCCTACCATTGTTTGCTTCCAACATCTCAGTGCGGTTTATGTCCGCCCTCCCAGTGCGTGGTCCGTGCCGCTCACCTGAGACCGTGGACACTCGACGGCCGGTCGTGTCGGCCCCTCCTGCGCCGGGCGGCTCGTCCCAGTCGGCCAGACCGAGCCGGCGTGCCTCGTTAGGGTCGCTCGCCTCCATGTAGGCCTTCATCTGTTCTGCCGTCCACCCGCCGGTGCTGTGCCGCGGACGCACCATTGCCACCGGCGGCGGCGGAGGGGCCTGCTGCGGTGGCACCGGCGCCCGCCGCTTCTTGGCCCCGGGAGCCGCCGGTGCCTCCGGAGCCTCCGGAGCCGCCGGAGCCGCCGGGGCCGCCGGGGCCGCCGGAGCCGCCGGCGCACCGGTCTGCTTCGGCAGATCGCCGGTGGGCGCGGACAGCCAAGACTCGGGGGTGGGAGTGCGGGCCGGAGCTCGCTCCACCGCCCCCTCACTGACGGGCCGAGCTAGACGGCGGGTCAGCGAATCGCGCCCCACCGCCGGGTCGGCCCGCTGGAACGCTGTGGACGCCTCGTCGTCGCTGGCCTCTCGGGAAGGCGAGTCGGCCGGGGGCGGTGGTGTGATGAACAGGTCCTCCTTTGGCGCCGGTGACTGTTGATAGGACGAGTTCGAGTCAGCATTGCAAATGTTTACAGACGAACCGTCAACCGAGGTGTAACGGGAGCGGGAGCCAACAAGAAAATATGTGACTTTCTCTTAACAGCTCTTTGGTGGCGTTCTTTTCACACTGTGTAGATTCTTTTTATCATTATTATTTCACTACCTCCGACAACCACAGAGAAGTGAGCTCTCCGTCGCGTCGGGCGGTGGTCAAACACATACAACAATGCACACATGGCAGACAACACATGTAGTTTGCAGTGAAGGGCACTAACCAGTGAAGACAGAGAGATGCATGTGATCGTGGCGGAGCCAAATTGTTGAAGATAAGGTCTGTTCATAATGCTCTGATTAACTTACCATGTTCGCTTATAATTGTCTGGATTTTGTGACACAACAAATCAGACACCGACACACAACACATGAACACAAGATAGACACAACTTGAAACAAGCATTATCGTATTATTTTATACCCAATCAATGTTTGGGTGAACACTGAACATTGAACAGTGAACACTAAGCACTAAACATGAAAATACTACTACAAATATTAGTATGTAGCATGCAACTTAAACGCATGTACGTTTGTACAACGTACATCTTTGCGTTTTCTTACCTCGGTTGGTTTTGAAGTGTTCGTTGTGTCTTTCTTTCGGAAGGGTTTTGTGATCGACGATCCAATCCCAGTTTCCGATTTTCCTTGTGATCCTGTGATAAAGGCGTTGTAAGTTGTTTGTAAAAGGGCTTGGTCTTATTTCATTATACTTTTTGGCATTCAATAAAATATGAATATTTCAATGGCCCCTGATGCTGATTTCTTACCATGCTCATAACCCGGGTTATATCCTGGGTTGCTGCCAGTGAGTGAGAATGAGACTGCACCTATTTCGTCCCAATGAATTTCTAAAGACCCAAACATTCATAAGTGTAACTTTATCTCTGTTAAATAATGAACTTTAAATTGTTCCAATAACACCAAATTCATTATATCGTTGATGTAACTGCGATGTGATTAAAATGTCACAAGAGGTCAAAGCAATAACTCCCGGTATATTCATAGTTGTCTAAGTGATGAAAATACCATAGGCAGTTGGACCAATTGATATGCAATATCGCTTTTCCTGCCAGCTCATGGCCTTGACCCGAGGACAAATTTTCAAGATGGCCGTATCAAGGCAATTTATCATTTATTTCTTGTGTGATGAGATACATATACTTTCAGGAAAGTTTTGCTTGAGCTTGTCATGCTTTTCTGTAAGCTATTTACCGAAGCTTCTGATGCAACCATTAACCTCGTTATAACTATGCACATCAAGCCTATTGTGGCCTTGATTATACCCTCAATTTAGGTATATGCACATCCTTGTGATGTTGAGTGAGGTGGCCGCCCCGGCTCCAGACTTGGACCCGGATCTCGACATAGTTGAGTAACCTGGCCTCTGGCTGTAAAACATTGGAACATGAGTCGCTACCTGGCATGTGTCCATCGACACCTGCTCAGCATGACGCCATCGGGCATTTAACCGGGCTGATGTTTGGTTGATCTCAATCTCCAGACGGCTGGAGCTAAACTCGGCCCGTGGTGCATGGGTTCTTCGCTCAGTATTTGTTGCCGAAAAGGCAACTCACTTCACAAGCTCGCAGGCTGGAGTTGAACAGACATCAAACCAATCAAAAGTTCCTGTCTTGGTTTGCGCACTGAGATGTCATAAAAGAACATATGTATGTGCTGTTTGAAAGGCGCTGCTTGTTTAAAAGGCGAAGATGATGGCGTATAGGATGCGACGGTAGGTATGATGTGCCATCGCATAATTAGCTGCTCTTCGACACGTGCACCCTAACTGCTCGTTGATTCTATTTGCACTAGAAATGCAGGCTGGATTAGCAAGTGCTATCAAATATTCAGTACTATTACGAAACTTTGTAGAGATAATCACGTATTTGTCATACATTGTCACGTTAGGAGCTGGCGACTTCCGCGAAATGGAATTATGGGGAGCGGGGACTTACCAAATTCTGGTGCTGCAGATGACCCGCTTACCTGAAGAATGCCCGGAGCTCGGCACTTTGGTGTCCTTTGAAATACCAGACGGTGAAGTACCTCCGCTGCAAAAAAGAAGAAGCAGATTTATGTGTGTGTCGGCTTATGCCTCAAGAATATTATGTAGGAACATAATATTCTTATAACATCCGAAAGTTAGGGCCACTATGGTCATGGCCGAAATTTCTGCGCTCAGTCCAGGTGTACAGAGGTCTATGGTAGGAATTTTTCTATATGATAATTGAAACACATTTATGAATCAGTTTCGCTAGTGAGCTTCCAAAATTTATAATTTTTGGGCAAGAATCGGATACATTATTGCATTTGTAGTGGTGACCAAATGGCTCACAAAGTGTACACTGTACAGCCAGGTAATGGATTGAAATCACCTTAATCGTTCATGTTTTTGTTGATTTTTTTTTTGCTCACAACGGCACATACATATGGTGTTACTGCTCACAAATATAAATCCGGCATTCTTTTTTTTTCTTATTTTATGCCGCATGGCCTTTAACGTTCCAGGCCGCAGCTCTGACGCGAAGGACGCGGAGAGTGTCCGACTGGGCCGCCTCTCAGAGTCACCACTCGTCCGAGGTCGATGTCAGCCGATAGCTCACAGTCCAACCACCGATACATCACCGGCGGATGGCAATACAAACAGGGACCGTCCACCGTCTGCAGCCCGCCGGTGGTCTCAGTTGCATCAGGCCCCAGCGAGCTGCACCTCTGACCTGTGTCTGTGTTTGGACGGATCGTCTGCCGGGGAGGCCGCCCCGCGCGGATGCTGAGGCAGGGGTGTGCCCCCGCCGCCCGGGGTGGTGGTGGTTTCCTGCGGGTAGAGGCGCTCCGGTTAGGGGGACGAGTCGTACGAGTGACCACTGGGTGTGTGAGTGGGGTTGGAGCTGTCAGCTTCTGCCAATGATACTGACAAAGAAAACATTATGTTATAAGGTTTACTTATCCGTATGGCCTCGACTCTGATGCACTCACCATTTGTCAGAAGGTAAATAATACAGAAAAATCATCGAAGTGTCGATAAAAAGGGCCCAGTACCTACCTTGTCACCTGCAACTCTATAGACCAGGCGACTAAGCGGTAACAAACAAAATGATGTTATGGCCTTTTCCGCGGTGTGAACTATCCGCGAGACCTTTGGTGATTTCGTCTGAGGTCAGTTTAGGTTAGGTCACCTGACCTGCAATACGATTGGGACCAATAGATCTGGCCTGAATGATGGGTTACGCGTGCGAAAGGGGTTACGCGCGTTAATGGTTTCTCGCGGATTCTGAGCAGGTACGGGAGGAGATGCCAGGGGGTGGCACAAGCCCTTCCCGGCTGGGGAGAGTTTAAGATGGGAGGAGCGTGCTGATTGTGAACATCAGCGTTTCACAGGAGTCTGAGTGCATTGCCAGCCCAGCAAAGTTAAACGAAAACGGAGCGTACTTTCAACCTAGTCACGTGTTTAGGCCACATGCTGCCAAACATTTGCCTCGTGAGCGTGTGGTACGTACCTTTACCTTTGTTTCGCATTTCTTGTTGCTATATGAAAGGAGGCCTTGGTAACATGCATGCTAGTTTTTTTTTGTTATCGAATTAGCTGGGCTTGTTTAAACAGTTTAACATGAATAATTACATTTGAGGGATTGCAAGGACATAGTATTTCGTTGTCACATAATGCCAGACCTTTGCTAGGAAATAAACATTCTAAGCTGTTTGCACTTGACGAACATCCCTACTTGTTTTCAGTTTAATACATTATTTTGGATCGTTGCTACACACATTGCGTGATGATTTCAATGCCTGAGTGTATTTCAAATTCATTGAGATAATGGATTAGAATATAAGCGCAGACCAACGCACGTTGAAATAAACTGCAATTGAATCGTACGAGCCTTTTTAAACATCAGTAGAGCCTCCTATGTATATGGCTGTCGGCTGAACATGCAAACAACCAGGTTATAAAAGACCCTACGTCCCCCCGCCCTGGGAATGAAGGCAGGCCACTCATGCTTCCGAGCCTGTATTTTCGGTCTGCACTCACCCTCCTGACAGTCTACAATCATACAGCCACCCTCCCGACACACGAGACTGGGAGGCTACACAGTGCGCACATCCTCCCAACACACCAGACTGACAGTCTGCACCCATCCTCCCAACATACGAGACTGGCTGTCCGCAGTCACCCTCCCAACACATCGAACTGACACTCTGTAGTCCCTTGGCACACGAGACTGGCAGTCTGCTCTCACAGCCACCCTCCCGACACACCAGACTGACAGTCTACAGCCACCCTCCCGACACACCAGACTGACAGTCTACAGCCACCCTCCCGACACACCAGACTGACAGTCTACAGCCACCCTCCCGACACACGAAAGTGACAGTATGCAGTCACTTTTGTAAATATAATCTGGACAAGTACTGTATTGAGAGTACCTTATGAAATTCACGATACAAATATAAAAAGTTTACATGAATGGCGTACCGGTTTCTTCTCTACGACTTCATCACTCATCAGCGCCGTTACATTTTCGATGTAACGGCGCTGATGAAGTCGTAGAGACGAAACCGGTACGCCATTCATGTAACTTATTTATATATGTTATATCGTGAATTTCATAAGGTACTCTCAATACAGTATGCACCATGCAGGCACCCTCGCGACACACCGAACTGACACTCTGTAGTCCCCCCGACACACGAGACTGGCAATCTGCTCTCACCCCCCCCCCCCTGCCCGCTCTGTCCCGACCTGATACTTCACAGTTCACTCACCTGCACGACCCAGTGATGAAGCTCGTTTTCATCGCTGTCGTCCTCTTCCTCGCTGGTCTCGGTGGATCCCGACTCTGCGGAGACTGGCTCCCCGCGCCCGATCGTCTTCCTGTCTAGGAGGCGTCCGCCGCCACCCGCCGTCCCCTGTCGCACGCTGGCGCCCTGTTGACGCTGCTCCGCTGATTGTCGTTCGATTGGCTTCTGAGAGACGTTTTTCGGCAACGAAGTGGCCTCACCAGAGCGTTTTTCGGAGGGTACACCAGAACCAGCAACTGGCACAGCAGAGACCCCAGCCTTGCCAGCAACCGCGATAGGCTTCCTTTGATCGACAGTCTTTTCGGAGGAATCGCCCGCTGCGTAGGTGTTCTGTTCATCATTGTCGAGTTGATTGATTTCTTTGAAGCTTTCATCCACAACGCTGATAGCTTTTCTTACGGCATTTTTGTCGCAGCCTTGACGCAAATCCTCTTTCGTAATGGACGTGTGCCGTGATGGCTCACCGTTTGATTGACGCGTCCTGGAGCTAATCGGCTTTGGCTGCGCGTCTTTTACGTTTGTCGGTTTGACATCTGAATCCGATTTCGGGTCAGCTCCCGTGCCACGGTCCACGCCGACAGGAAACGACTGCCGGCGCTCATCCTCTGGCTTTCCCGGCGAGCTAACGGCAGAACCTGTAATCGATCCCCGCTCTGACCTCGTGCCGGCTTGCTCCGGGTGTGTCCCCGTGCCGCCCTGCTCGCGGTCCTGCGGCGACTCAAACTTGGCTCTCCTCTGCGCCACCAGCCGGCCGCACGGCTCCGGGGGTCCTCCGGGTCCCCTGGCAGAGACCACCACCTGCTGACGCGGCCGGCAGCTGGCACCGTACCGCCGCAGCGCCACCTCATTGATAGGGGTGTCTGGACGTGGTGAGACCCTGTAATACTCCAGCTCGGCCTCGTGCGGGTCAACCATCTGCTGTGACCCCCTCCGTGAAGGAGATTTGGTGTTCTGGACGATGCCGTTGCGTTTTTCAGTCTCCGCTTGTGAACGCTGCTTTTGACTTGTAGCATGGCCGACATTTTGTGGAGTCTCCTTTGTAGTGCTTTTGTCGTTCTTTAGATGGTTGCAGTTGTCATCTGCGGTACCAGACGAGCTTGCATGCGACTCGAGGGCTTCATGGATTACCTTTTGAGCGAGGTCTGTGGCTACTTTTCTCAGAGGCTCTCCTCCACTCTCTGGCTGATCCGATTTCTGTTGGTGTTCAGTGATCGGCTCAGTAACGTCTTTCTCTTTTTGAGCCATTTCTGACGAGCTCTGATCGGTGTCGCTGTCCATCTCTTCGACTGCGGTCGTACCGACATCGGTGTCACTGCCAGAGTCGTTGGCGCCGCCACTGCCGATACAACTAACGCCGCTGCCGTCTGGACGATGCAACAGGATTTTCGGCACGGAGAGGCAGCGGTCGTCCCGTCTGTTCTGCTGGGACGCACGGGTCGGCGGGTAGCTGAGGCGCCGGGGCGGACCGGCACCGCCTGCTGGTTCCTCGTCCTCTTCCAGAGGAGACAGGGTCGACTCCGAACCGTCAGAGATGCGCCGAGACCTGTCCGCGTCAGAGAGATGTCTGGGAGCTGTCTCATCGGGATCTTTTCCAACTTCCTTTTTGTCAGACTTGCTGTTTTGCTGATCTTGCGTTTTCTCATTTTCTTGAATATCTTTCTCACGCCGCGGAGTAACAACGCTCTTCTCTGAGGTGGTGAAGCCTCGGAGACTGGCGTCTGCCTCCGAGTACCGCCTTCCTCTGTTCGCCGCCAGAGACGGACCGCCGGCTCCACTGCCCGGGCGACTCTCGAAGCTGATCACGCTGGACCTGCGCGAGCTAGACGCGCTGTCGGTCTCCGACCCCGGCGAGCTCGGCCGGAAAATGTCCAGCAGGATCGTGTCGCCGCTCTCCCTGTGGTGATGTATCATGTTATTGTGATTGATAACAAACAATATGCTGCTAATTCTACCCGCAGTTATCTGATGTTATGCAGCATTCATTAGGTATAGGCGTAATTGTACAATTGCGTTCGATTTGCGTAGTATTCCCTAGATTAACAACAGTACCTTATCATCAGCCATTATCAAACAACATGAAGTAGTAAAAGTACATACCAGAGAGCACCTCTTTCACAATGTGCGCGTTTGCCTCTGTGCTGGTCTAGCGTGAGCAGCTCTTTCGCAGTATCTCTGTGACATTGGCTTAACCTTAGCAGCTCCTTCTCAGTATTTACGTCTGCCTCTAATATTTGTCTTATACCTGAATAGCTCATTCGCAGATCTCTGTGACGTTGGTCTTACCTGAATCGCTCTTTCCCAGTATCCTATGTGTGCCTGTGACATTGGTCTAACCTGATCAGCTCCTTCACAGTAGCCGAGTCCGCCTCCGTTACGTTGGTCTTGCCGACGAAAATCAGCAGGTCTCCGTCTCTGATGCCGGCTGCCTCGGCGGCAGAGTCCTCCAGAACATGCTCCACCCTGCGGCGAACACAGCGCGGGTCACAGATGTGCGGGAGAGGCTTCTTAACCCGGCAGTTGCTGGGGTATTTCGCCACCCGCCGTTTGCTGGGGGGGGGGGGGGCGTTAAACGCCCCCAGCCGATAACTCGAGAACCAATAGGCACAGCGAAACACACGAGGCGGCAAACGAAAGAACGCGACTAGACGCTTCAGATGAGTACTTAAAAGTTGAATTTTGAGGTCACAGGTCGGGTCAAGGTCAGGTCAAACACCTGAAATCGGGCTTTCAGTAGCATGGACTTCAGGACTTCGCAATGGGCGCCTCTCGTCATAAACTCTGTCAAAACGGTGCACAATCCTTCATATAAGGCCTACAAGAGTGTCAGCTCCATGTAGGGGTCAGTCAAGCATAGGTCAGGGTCAAGGTCAGGTCAACCGGGTAGGCACACATCCCCGAAAATCAAAACTGATATTCGCAGCCAGGAACACGTGTTTTATGGGTATTTTTGGGCGTAGAACACGATGGTGACATTCATTTTATCATATATGTACGTGTTTGGTTCAAAAAGTTCAATTTGAGAAATTCATGTATCATGGTCGTGAAGCAACTGGTTAGTTACGAGAAATTGCCAAGATTCAGTTCAAGATTTTGGAAAATGCAGAACGATAATCAATAATCGAAGATAGCCATTTGATTGTTCATGGTATTGACAGTCTAATTGCATTTATGGCATGTCTGTATATCTATTCTGTGATTTTATATGATTTTTTGAACATATGCCGTCTTTGGTCGAAAACTCAGAAATCATGACGTCACTAAAACCTCGATATCTCAGAAATTTTCCGACCGATTTTTTTGAAACTTTGTCACAATAACCTTTAATCAATTCCCTACAGGTGCATAAATTTTGGCGCGCCTGCGGCGCGTTTATGGCGCGGCGACAAAAGTGGGGGCGTTTAACGCCTCCCCCCAGCAACTCGCGGGCTAAGAGAAACTGGTACCTAACGATAGCTAGCAACGAATGTATTCCATCCTTCACCAAACATACCACCAAACGCAATCGTGCGTGATGGGCTGGCAAGTCAACCATGCACCGTATATGCACCGTACCGTACATATATGCACTGCGTTGAGGTGTGGTCAGCCGTAGTCGAAGGAACCGAAACTCAGCCGTTTTTTATACGGTACAGGCTGCATCGTTGTGGCACGCAACCGTAGTGTTAATGAAAGCTGTGACATTTCACCACCTCCCCGAACTCTTGTTGCAAAAAGGCAATACTTTGATGTTATAATTATATTAGAATAATTGTATGAGAAATTTTACTCTTAGCTGCTTTGCTTTTAAGTCGCCATCTTTCTGCTGTTTCGCGATTGAAATAAAACCGGTTATATGTAGTCTTACAAGTTACAGGTACTCAAAATCAGCTGCTGCTATAAAGCCTAAGCTACACTATGCGTGACCGTCCAGGAAATTACGTGCGTGATCTGCAGATCCGTGATTGCGAGACTCCCTTGTCATCGGTTTCTGCGTTTTTCCAGAATTTCCGTGAAATATTGTATTCTGACGTAATAATAACAACTTATAAATGGTTTCGCAACAAACGCTTAAGTTTGCTATTTTCTATACTATTTTATCAATAACTAGTTCATTTTGTTAATAAAACATCAAAAACACATGAAAATTAAAGAAATAATTATTAATTACGTCACTTGAATTCTTACGGTGCGCCACCAAGTGCGCCAACAACTGTCTCATATCACGCAATCTCGCATATTCTGCAAAAAAGTTCGTAGCTCTGAACTTTATATCGGTACGGAACATCCTGACCGTCCTGACTATCCGGCATTTCCTGGACTGAACGTCCGGGATTTCCTTGACTGAATCTGCGTGACCCCAGTGTAGCCGACCCTGTGTATTTCCTATCAGCTGAACTTGACCTGCGTACCGATTTTTTTGCAAAACCCGCAAACTCGCAGATCACGGACGTAGGATCCCGCATAATGTAGCTAGACCTTTACTGTGCATAGTCGGCCGCAGTAAGAGTGTGACGCAATTGAATCATAGTATCATCGTACTGCACGGCAAAAAGGAAGCTTTTTTGTAGCACACTCGGAAGTCAAACGATCATAAATGATCAATAAGTAAGGCGATACTTTTAGAGCTATTCTGAGAGCCTTGGCGAGGGCATTGTTTGGTAAGCTTCTCAGTAAATTGGCTTCCCTGCTCGATAGCTCATTTGCCACCGAGAAAACTTGCACCAAGCTACATGATTAAATGTCGAATATCCTGTCAATTATTGAACCATAATAGCATCAGTAGCTCGCTTCAAACGAATAGCTTTCTCACCAATATGTTTTAATTTGTGGAAGCGGACGTCTGGCAATTAAAATGCGTATAGATGCCGTATTATGTATCGGTGCATCTCTTTTACTGGAATTTGCGGTTGCCTATACGGTAGTATGTAGTTTAAACGACTTCAAGCTGCCAGATGAGAAAGGCGCGGTATTCTGATGTTTGGGTCAAGAGCTGGTGTTTCTCCATTTTTTATACCTCGTCGGCATTTTGTATTTGTGTACCATTTTGGTCGGCACTGGTTTCACAATTCGTATGGATAACTTCAAATACTTGGAGTTGGCATCAATAGTTTGAGTTGAGTTGCAACTTGCAAACTTTGTGAGCTGATTTAACCCTCGCATGTGTAGGGGGTGGGGTCGGATGGACCCCCCCCCCATGGTTTTCCCGAATAACTCGCGCAAAACGCGGCCGATCGCGACGAAACTTTCAGTACCTTCGTGTTTATCAATTTTAGACCTCTGTAAATTTAATGACCCTGACCCAAATGACCTTTGATCTGTGACCTATTTCTTGAGACCACGTTTGGCCGTAATCGCGATTCAGCGTATCTCAGCTCACATTATCCGCCGTTTCCAGTCTTTTTGTGATTATAAACGTCCAAACATGTGAAATGATGTTCGTTCCACGCATTATGGTGGGTTTCAAGGTCACCTGAAGGTCAGGTCAGGTCATTGACCTTTGATGACCTCGGGTCACTTTGTCGAGGTACACATGTTTCTAGGTTAGTTTTTCGGGCTGATTTCGAATTTTGCATCCATTTGAACGTTTACAAAGTAGTTTTAGTACCTTCGTAACATGTTACGACGCCGTTAGTGGTAGTTGACACCTACTATGGATAGCCGGCAGGACGCCTACTGGTTGACCTGACCTGACCTGACCCGACCAAGCCTAAATGCATGAAGACATCATCTGTGATCAAAACTAACTCGAAATTCGTGATCAGTGCCCCGAAAAAACCCATAGCAGGTTCCCTTTACGAAGTTCTAGCAGGTCCAGATTTTCCGGACTTTTGGGTCATTGACCTGACCAGGAAGGTCAACCAATGACCTAGGACCTTAAAATTGGGTATCATCGTCTCCCTCTCGTCACGGGCAACACGCTCGTTTTTTCTGCGAGTCTCGAACTCAATCAGGGGCCGAACGGCAGGGGGTCCAACCGACTCCCCCCCCCCCCTAAACCTTAGACGCTGGCAAACGCCGCACACATGCGACTTGCGAGTGTTAAGAAACAATTTAAACAATTTATAATAAACCACAGATATAACACGTCCAGCCTCCAATCTTACCTTGGCGGGTTGTTCCACGATATTTTCACGCCCAGCGGCTGTGCCTTGCGGCGTTTGACCTTGGCCGTCCTGGTGTAGGGCGTCCTTCCCTTCAGCATGGTGAGGAACCTCGCTGGTCCGCCGCTGCAGAGTCTTCTGACCTATCGTTCACCACCGGCCAGCTTCGAGAGACCGAGCCAGCCGGGCGCAGGTGCTCCTCCGACCCGTGTATATCGGTAACTGAGCTGGCCTGACACAGTGGGTCGCAGCAGAGCCCTGAAGCCCCACAGGTGACCCAGAGCAGAGCTGCGATGGAGCAGAATGGAGGGCTTCCCACCGGGGGCTACCCTCCTCGGGCTTCACTTGGTCCGAGGTGGCCAGCGCTCTTACATCAGCGTTCCTGACACAAATGAACTGCTCTTCTGTGGGAATGGACGTGATCGGATCAGCTTAACAGGATGACAAAGCCTTAGCTGTTAATGTCCAAGACGGTCGTCATATGTTTACGTAATGCCCAAAAAGATGTCTTATCGTATTTTCTAGGTCAAGACGCAATATATGATTGTTAAAGGTAACGTTCGCTCACGCACTATCAGCTGACGGCACGACGACGCGCATGCGTTGTGCGCGGCGCTACCCGCCAGTCGTCGCTCGCGCCCCGAGAGCGAAGGACGTGACAGCTAGCGCCATTGGCTACCCCAACCATCCTGACAGCGTCGAATCGAGTCGTGTGAAACACCTTACCCGGTTTTTACCATGGACAGCGCCGCCATCATCGCCGCACTCACAGGTATCGTGCACCGGGGAGATTCATGGCTCGGGACACTCGCCGCAGTCACAGCCAGTGACACATCGGTCCGCAGTCGCCTCAGCGGCACGCTACTGTGACTACGGTCTATGCTACTGTGTATGTTCTGGCGCCTAATGTCACAACTAGGCTATGACCGCAGCCCCATAATGACCGACGCAGTGCCGGCCAGCCCGCGCCGGACACCCTCGCTGCAGGGTTGCATGCTTGCAATCTCGCACTGCCCGTCGCAAGGTCAGTCATTCAAACGGACTGGACACCTTCGATGCAGTCTCGCAATCAGTGCATTTCAAACTGCCCGGCGCAGGGTCGGCCAGCCCGGGCCGGACACCCTCGCTGCAGTGTTGCATGCTTACAACCTCGCACTGCCCGTCGCAAGGTCGGTCATTCGAACGGACTGGACACCTTCGATGCAGTCTCACAATCAGTACATTTCCCGCTGCCCGGCGAAGGGTCGGCTCGTCCTGGGCCGGACACCCTCGCTGCAGTGTTGCACGATTGCAAGTTCGCACTGCCCGTCGCAAGGTCAGTCATTCAAACGGACTGGACACCTTCGATGCAGTCTCGCAATCAGTATATTTCAAACTGCCCGGCGCAGGGTCGGCCAGCCCGGGCCGGTCACCCTCGCTGCAGTGTTGCATGCTTACAACCTCGCACTGCCCGTCGCAAGGTCGGTCATTCGAACGGACTGGACACCTTCGATGCAGTCTCGCAATCAGTAAATTTCACACTGCCCGGCGCAGGGTCGGTCAGCCCGGACCGGACATCCTCGCTGCAGTGTTGCATGCTTACAACCTCGCACTGCCCGTCGCAAGGTCGGTCATTCGAACGGACTGGACACCTTCGATGCAGTCTCGCAGTCAGTAAATTTCACACTGCCCGGCGCAGGGTCGGCCAGCCCGGATCGGACACCCTCGCTGCAGTGTTGCATGCTTACAACCTCGCACTGCCCGTCGCAAGGTCAGTCATTCGAACGGACTGGACACCTTCGATGCAGTCTCGCCATCAGTAAATTTCACACTGCCCGGCGCAGGGTCGGCCAGCCCGGGTCGGACACCCTCGCTGCAGTGTTGCATGCTTACAACCTCGCACTGCCCGTCGCAAGGTCGGTCATTCGAACGGACTGGACACCTTCGATGCAGTCTCACAATCAGTAAATTTCACACTGCCCGGCGCAGGGTCGGCTCGTCCTGGGCCGGACACCCTCGCTGCAGTGTTGCATGCTTACAACCTCGCACTGCCCGTCGCAAGGTCGGTCATTCGAACGGACTGGACACCTTCGATGCAGTCTCGCAATAAGTAAATTTCACACTGCCCGGCGCAGGGTCGGCCAGCCCGGGTCGGACACCCTCGCTGCAGTGTTGCATGCTTACAATCTCGCACTGCCCGTCGCAAGGTCGGTCATTCGAACGGACTGGACACCTTCGATGCAGTCTCACAATCAGTACATTTCAAACTGCCCGGCGCAGGGTCGGCCAGCCCGGGTCGGACACCCTCGCTGCAGTGTTGCATGCATACAACCTCGCACTGCCCGTCGCAAGGTCGGTCATTCGAACGGACTGGACACCTTCGATGCAGTCTCGCAATCAGTAAATTTCACACTGCCCGGCGCAGGGTCGGCCAGCCCGGGCCGGACACCCTCGCTGCAGTGTTGCATGCTTACCACCTCGCACTGGCCGTCGCAAGGTCAGTCATTCGGACGGACTGGACACCTTCGATGCAGTCTCGTAATCAGTACTTTTCACGCTGCCCGGCGCAGGGTCGGCTCGTCCTGGGCCGGACACCCTCGCTGCAGTGTTGCACGATTGCAAGTTCGCACAGCCCGTCGCAAGGTCAGTCATTCAAACAGACTGGACACCTTCGATGCAGTCTCACAATCAGTAAATTTCACACTGCCCGGCGCAGGGTCGGCCAGCCCGGGTCGGACACCCTCGCTGCAGTGTTGCATGCTTACAACCTCGCACTGCCCGTCGCAAGGTCGGTCATTCGAACGGACTGGACACCTTCGATGCAGTCTCACAATCAGTAAATTTCACACTGCCCGGCGCAGGGTCGGCTCGTCCTGGGCCGGACACCCTCGCTGCAGTGTTGCACGATTGCAAGTTCGCACAGCCCGTCGCAAGGTCAGTCATTCAAACGGACTGGACATCTTCGATGCAGTCTCGCAATCAGTATATTTCAAACTGCCCGGCGCAGGGTCGGCTAGCCCGGGCCGGACACACTCGCTGCAGTGTTGCATGCCTACAACCTCGCACTGCCCGTCGCAAGGTCGGTCATTCGAACGGACTGGACACCTTCGATGCAGTCTCACAATCAGTATATTTCACACCGCCCGACGCAGGGTCGGCCAGCCCGGGCCGGACACCCTCGCTGCAGTGTTGCATGCTTACCACCTCGCACTGCCCGTCGCAAGGTCGGTCATTCGAACGGACTGGACACCTTCGATGCAGTCTCGCAATCAGTAAATTTCACACTGCCCGGCGCAGGGTCGGCTCGTCCTGGGCCGGACACCCTCGCTGCAGTGTTGCACGATTGCAAATTCGCACTGCCCGTCGCAAGGTCAGTCATTCAAACAGATTGGACACCTTCGATGCAGTCTCGCAATCAGTACATTTCAAACTGCCTGGCGCAGGGTCGGCCAGCCCGGGCCGGACACCCTCGCTACCTTGTCCACCCAAGAGCGACGGACGTGGCGGCAGAACGAGACATCTGCACGACACAGGCGACCTCACACGACTGGCCAACACTCCCCGCGATGGAAGTCCTGCCATCACTGCGGCACCCACTGCTGCGCGTTCGTCACTCGTCACACACCGTCTGGTTAGGGCGCCCCTGTTTTTTTTTCTCTCTCTCGGAACGCCCACCCTGTTGTTCGTGGATCGCGCGTAGTATGCTGCTGCAGCGTCACAGTCGCAATCGCAATCACGGTGTGGTTAGGTGCGCTCCTTCGGAACGCACACCCGCACATACAGCGCGAGTGTGGTATGCTGTTGTGTCACGCCACCTGACCGCGGAGTTGGTGCTCCGGGGCGCACCGCGCCGCATCCTGTTGCATACTGTTGCAATACCGCGCCGTCTGTCAAAGGGTCACTCCTCCGAAATGCACACCCCGACAACAGCTCGTGTGTATCATGCCGTTGCAACGTCACGGGTCATGCTGTTGCAACGTCACGGGTCGCTCCTCCGGAGCGTACACCCTCAACAGCTCGCATGTTGCATATCATTGCAATGCCTCGCCGTTTGTCAAAAAGTCACTCCTCCGGAACCCACAACCTTGACAATGGTCCGTATGTAGTATGTTGTTACAACGTCACGGGTCGCTCCTCCGGAACGCACACCCTCGTCAACAGCTCGCGTGTTGCACACTGTTGCAATGCCTCGCCGTCTGTCAAAGGGTCGCTCCTCCGGAACGCACACCCCGACAACGGCCCGCGTGTATCATGCTGCTGCAACGTCACGGGTCGCTCCTCCGGAACGCACACCCTCGTCAACAGCTCGCATGTTGCATATCATTGCAATGCCTCGCCGTTTGTCAAAAAGTCACCCCTCCGGAACCCACAACCTTGACAATGGTCCGTATGTAGTAGGTTGTTACAACGTCACGGGTCGCTCCTCCGGAACGCACACACTCGTCAACAGCTCGCATGTTGCATACCGTTGCAATGCCTCGCCGTCTGTCAAATTAAGGGTCGCTCCTCTGGAACGCACAACCCGACAACGGTTCGTGCGTACCACGCTGTTGCAACGTCACGGGTCGCTCCTCTGTAACGTATCCCCTCGTCAACAGCTCGCATGTTGCATGCCAGCTCGCCTGTTGCACCCTATTGCAATGCCTGCCGCCTGTCAAAGGGTCACTCCTCTGCAACGCAGGCCCCTTACAACGTTTCGTGTGAGGTATGCTGTTGCAACGTCACGGGACACGGGTCGATCCTTCGGAACGCACCCTTCGCCCACGTTTCCATGCTGCTTACCGTCGCAATGCATCGCCGTCTGTCAAACGGTTTCCTTCGGATCGCACACCTTCTGTCACGGCTCGTGCGTCGCATTATGTTGCAAGTTTCACGCCGTCTGGCGCAGAGATGCCCCTGCGGCACGCCACAGCTCCTCATGCGTTGCAAGCCGTTGCAAGCTCACGCCACCCAGTGCCGGGGCATGCCGCGCACCCCACCATAACTCGCACTAATACGCCGCCAGGCGCGAGGCCGGCCCCTATGGGCCGCACGCCCGACCCACAGCTCGTACCGGCATCTGCGATGCCGGGCTCCGCATCGCGGGACCGCAGGTTGTTTGAGCAAGCACCTTTGTAAACGCAGCAAAAACGCCCGCCACCAAACGAGAGGATGAGCCTTGCACGTGCAGACCGCAGTCGGTGTGCTACGGACTGACGTGCACGGCACCCTATTCGTCGGTCTATAGCGGTGTGCCAAATTTGAGTGCAATCGACCCGGCCGTTTTCGAGATCTGGAAGCGACACCCTGCACGTGCGCACGTGCAGCCTAGGCCCCAATTGACTTGTGCACGGCACTCTATTCGCCGGTTTCTAGCGGTGTACCAAATTGGAGCTCAATCAGCCCCGTCAATTTCAAGATCTGGAAGCGACCCCTACACGTGCGCTGGTGCAACTGCACCCCAACCGTGGCACATGAAAATACATACTAACTGACTTGTGCACGGCACCCTACTAACCAGTCTCTAGCGGTATGCCAAATTTCAGCAGAGTCGGCCCAGCCGTTCTTGAGATCTGGAAGCGTCAGCCTGCACGTGCGCACGTGCATAGCGGGTCCCATCTGACTTGTGCACGGCACCCTACTTACCAGCCTCTAGCGGTGTGCCAAGTTTGATCACAATCGGCCCAGCCGTTCTCGACATCTGGAAGCGTCACCCTGCCCGTGCGCACGTGCAGTTGCACCCCTACCAAGACACGTGGAAATGCATCGCCTGGAATGTGTCTACCTCCATGCCAAGTTTTAGCGCAATCGGCCCAGTAATTACCGCGAGCTATTGCACTTATTACAAAACAGGCACCTCTTGGCTTTGCACGTG